GTCCTCTTTCAACGATCGACTCGAAGTACACACCGAGCGACCAAATAAAAATGTCACTGTTGATGATGCCCTGCTGGACTTTCACACCCCGACTGCTGATTTCTGCTTCCGAGGCATTGTTCTGCCCTCGGACCTTCGTCTCTTGTCCGATGTATGGTTTTCTGCTGTGGAGAAGTCACAGCCACCAGTACAGTCGTTGGACCTCGTGCCGTCTAACGAGATGGAATTGGCAGCAGAAATGAAGATGCTTACGTTTGCCGACAAGCAACAGGGACTAAATGGGTATGCTGCCTTGCACCCAGGCCTGCTCGTTTGACCAGATTTTTTTGTTCTATTTTCCTTCTTGAAGCCTGTTAGGTTAAACTTTAGTTTGCGTTTTACCGCTTTCGCTGTCGATCAAATGCGCTTAGTGTGTTCGAATATTTTCTCAGAAAATTTCGAACATTTATGCATCTGCTCCACGAGGCTCACCGGTAGCCGTGAATGTAATTACACTTGGGCCGATTAACCTGCCCAGCGTACTGCACGTATGAAGTCCACCAATAGGGATACAGCAAGCTGACTGCCCAGGCAGGATTTCCTAAGCAATCAATCTACAATTCACCAGATATATAAGTATCTAGTGAGCAGAGCCAGAAGCTTCCTCTGCGCAGTTGCGACATCATTTGAAAAAAACTATTAGGGCTTTTATCTATTGCTTAATTTCGCTCCGTTGCTGATCCACCTATCAGCTTGCAAATCTCATAATGCATAGTTACGACATTCGCAAAATTTAATGACATCGTAGAATTTCATGGCCTATTATTCAACTGCGTACGGTCATTGCCTGTTTATAAGAAAAGGTAAACTGTTTTCTTACATGGCGACCTAGAAGAGCCACTAGAACCTTTTCTTCAGAAACCATAGAAAAAGAGGTCAGTTTTCTAAAAAAAAGTCTCTTTGAAATGGATAACCGGAGAAATTCATCAATGCATATCGCCACTAAAGACAATAAATCCCGTCCGAAATATCCATGCCAAGAAGGCTGGTAAGTATCTTCCTCCCTTCCAAGGGTGATAATGTGTACGATGCGGTTAAACGAGGACTTTGATGCACAATTGAGCGAACGTAGACTGCGTCTACATTGCTGCTCGTAAGCACAACAACGCCTATTCCAGTTGGGCCAAATATATACACCACATCATATTGTACTTTTCAGTTTCGAATGCAAGTTGTTGTGTCTCCCATGTGGTACGTGCGGGTTAGAAGACAGAGAGGATAGCAAAGAATAACTTACTATAACAATTCCTGTGTGAACATCACTCGACTTGTCCTGTGTCCGTTAGCAAGTCGTCTGTGGTTGCGTCATGGCGTTCTCGTCAGCTCCACGTCTCGCCTCCCGTGTCCGCTCTCGCATCTTGGGACAATCGGTCCTTGCCCGCTTTGTCCCTTCTTATTGGTCCATCTTGGCAGCCATCGGATGCTGGTTGACCTCTCAATGACATGCATAATTCGGCGGCGTTCTTACCCGTGGTCACTGCTCTCTGTGACTGCGCGCTTACCTCTGTTTGCGCCCCTTTGTCCGGTGTGACCTCGGGATGAAAAGGTTGTTGGCTCACGTGCTGGGACGTCCTAACATAAATACATTGGGCGTACGCAAGGACAGCTGGTCAACTGAACATATGCCGAAGAGGTTGCTTACAGCAGAATATTTTCATTCTTTGAAGGTATATTCTTTAGGTATATTTACTCTCCCTATCAATAGCTTTCCATTATCGGGTGTTTTTCTTCTTTATCTGACTTTTCGGTGGAAGTAAAATCCGCCCCCATAGATTGCATCTAAATGGTTGCTGACTCCCATACATCCTAAGTAGTCATACTGACCGGAGATACCAGTTTGATGTCATCACTGCAAAATGCGTTTTGCATTTCGTTTTGTCATTTCGTGCATTTTTAAGGCATTTTCTTATGCTTGTACATCTTGGCATACTTCTGTAGGTTCTGCTCTCAACCCTGTGATGAGCCTT